GGCCACCCGGTTTGGGTCAAATGTAAACACGCAAAGACACTCACAGACACTCACAGCCACTCACAAAACACTCACAGACACTCACAAACACCCACAAACAAAACAACACAGAAATACTCACAAAAACACTTGGGGTGGACGGTAGAACGACGGCCTCGCTTCATGCAGGTCGGCGTTCAATCCCTGACAGTCCAAGTGGTTGGGTACCATTCCTTCCTCCCCCCTCCCCGTCCCATCTCCAATCCTAATCCTGACCCCTTCCTAGTGCTATATAGTGGTAATGACTTGGCGTTTTCCCTGATAGTTCCCTTCACTCACAAATACACAGTAACGCTAAAAAAAAATCACTAACATTTTTGCATAATTTGGTTTAGTGAAGGTTTATTTCTCACAATATTTTTGAGTAAATGTCCAGACATTTTGAATGTGTTGTGAGTCTGACATTCGTGTCTAGTTCAGTGTATTATTTATAAGAATAATAAATAATACTAATAATTAAAATAATAATAATAATGTTATTAGTGTTGTCATTGTTGTTAAATATAATTGCTATCATTATAATTATAACACTTGTAATCACTGTCTTAATTCATAAGAAATATTCTTTTCTTTATAAATTATAAATGGTTATTGCTACTGATATCCGCAAATATACTGATATATTTGGTTTAGTTGATAATATATCTAAGTGCAGGGAAGTGAACGAGTGTGTATATATATATATATCAGAATGGTTAGACTTTTAAAATATAACAGACTCAGAGGAGGAGTCACAATAACGTGGCTGAATTATGTTGACCAGACCACACACTAGAATGTGAAGGGACGACGACGTTTCGGTCCGTCCTGGACCATTCTCAAGTCGATTGTTCATGAAACGTCGTGGGTTCCTTCACTTTCTAGTGTGTGTGTTGTGGTCAACATAAAATGTAACAGTATTATTGTTAGCATGTATTTATGACAGAAAATTAAAATGAAATTGAGGAATGTAAAATTTCCGATATTAAAAGTACCACTATTTTTAAAGTTAGGAAGATTGTCTTGAAAAAACCTGTTGATATATCTCCTCATGATACGTAAAAGAAGTGACTTACACGGTGCAAGTGCACTGACGTTAAAAACACGGTAGCCGTGGAGTCTCTCAATGTATTTGTGCGGAACAAATACATAAAATAAAGGCCAAAGTTCCTGTCCCTCTCCCCCCCCCCACCTGCCATGCGGCCTGGGAGACAAATACCCCCTAAAGAAAGCCCAACACAGGTAACCCAAGATATATCAACAAGGGACGCCATCGAAAGAAGTCCGCTTTCACTCATTACGTTCTTTCCGAAAAGCCCCCAAAACACGTCCACGACTTCTGTACAGACAAAAACCTCCCAAAAAATATATATCAGACGGAGGGAAAACTACAAATTGGACTGCCTCCGCCCGGCATAAAGGTGGGTTCAATATTTAGACTCGGAGACAATACCCTCTTGGAAAGCCCCAAGGGCCTCCGACAACCATGGACCCACAAAGAAGCTGTGTTAATTATCCAAGGCCTCTATTACTCCAGCTAAAATATTGACAACCAATGGCACAGCGGATGCGCCGCGGGTTCTGTCGTGTCACAATGTTTGGGACGAGGCAGACTCCACTCGCAGACATTATTTGATTTTCAGTTTACAATGCATGTTTTCGGGAACTGAGAATGGTGTGTATTAGAAATAGCGAATGTGCACACACACACACACACGCCTTTAGGCTAAAATATATATATATGTAAAATGTTTGAAAAGATTTATTACAAGCCGTCTCACGATCAACTGCGGCCGAAAGATCAAGAAAATAAACTTTTCCAAATGGAAACTGAAGGGTAAGAAAATGTTTTTGTTTTGTTATGAAGGACCGGGGCAGCAGAGTCTTAGAGCCATGCTTTTATTGGCCTATAGTGCACTGAAACAAAAACCATTGTGTCCCCTCTCCCTCCCTCCTAACCTCGGTTAGACGAATGGGTAGGTCGCCAAGACGACCTCCACCTCGACCCTGCAGTCCCTGGGGGCGTCGCGGGCGGAGATTCCGTCCTCAAGGATGGCCCCCCTTCTACCCAGGATAGGTGTCCGCTTCATACCGGGATCGAAGTCCTGGTCCCATTATCCGAGTTCGACATATGGGGTGAGGGAAGGTTGGCCAAATGGGGGGGGGGGGGAGACATGGGAAGCTAGTCTGTTGGGACAAGACCAGGCGCAACACTGGCTTTTTTTTTTTTTTAGAAACTTTTTGGAAATTACTTGAGGGAGGCTCAGGACGTTATCTCTTCTTTCTTATCCTATTTCTTCCTCTCGTTTTTTTATGACTTTTGTCTTTGTTCTTGTTGTCTGTCGTATGACATTGTATATATGACATTATATTTTGGTTCTTTACTTCTCCTCGCTTTGTTAATTATTCAATTTATTTCCTTTCTTAAGTTGTCTCCTCAGTATATAATTACTTATCTTCCTCAGGTGCTTACATCAGACAAGGCTACTCTTGGGTGTTTTGTCCCCCCAAGACGTGAGATAATTCAAGGTCCACTAATCACTCTGCACACACACACACTTCGGCCTCGCGGCTGAGTGGACAGCGCTCTGGAGTCGTAGTATTTAGGGCTTGGGTTCAATCTCCGACAGAGGCAGAAACAAATGGGCAGTGTTCCTTTCACCCTGGTGCCCCTGTTCACCTAGCAGTAAATAGGTACCTGGGAGTTAGACAGCTGCTACGGGCTGCTTCCTGGAGATGTGTGTGTGTGTGTGTAAAAGAAAATATATGAAGTAGACATAATAGAGAAAAAAATAAATTGGTTAGAAAGGCTAATAGCTCGATTCTGCAGATAGAAATAGTAAATACACCCACCCACACACACACACATACACACCTCGACCTTATCCTCGTCAAGGGTGAGGTTTAAGGATTAGCATTACAAGGGGTGGCCGATGCGTGCCTTGCAAGGCCTTATACCCAGTACTGATACCGCTCATCGATCATGTAAACATTCAATACTGAACGCTACACGAATGTTTGCAGCGTTCTTCCTGTGAGAGAGAGAGAGAGACTGAGAGACAGAGAGAGATATTCACATACTGATGCTGGCGATTGGTCGGTGCGTCGCTCTCTGACTGTCAGCCTTGCCGACACACTTGACTGTTCTGACTGCCAGCCTGTCAATAACCGCCTGCTACCACCCCCTCCCACCCACCCTTGACAAGTGACTGTCAAGCTGTTGTAGAGGATGACTGCGCTGAGGCTCTTAACAGCTGACTACCAATCAAGTTAATAAACGGACAAGCTTAGACACCACGGGAAAATTTGTTGGTGACCAGCAATATGATAAACTGAAATGTTTATTAAGAAATTTTCGCGCATAGTTGTGTTGTATATCACGAAAGGGCCCAGGGCATATTTTATATTATATATATAAAGAGAGAGAGAGAGAGAGAGAGAGAGAGAGAGAGAGAGAGAGAGAGAGAGAGAGAGAGAGAGAGAGAGAGAGAGAGAGAGAGAGAGAGAGAGAGAGAGAGAGAAAGAGAGAGAGAGAGAAAGAGAGAGAGAGAGAGAGAGGAAACAAAAAAAAAAAGGACGCCCACGCCCTTCAGAAAACCATTTTTTATGATCAATGAATGTTCATAAATTTACCAGTGACCATCAACACATGAACACAAACACAGACAGGTCCGATATGTACCTTCACTCCGGGACATAACCGCATCTCCCCTCCCTGCCTCCCTGCTTGCCCTCTCCCCTCTCCCCTCTCCAAGTCAACACCCGCGGGGTATTCTGTTGAAAACATTCAACACTTCTCTGAAAGAACAGATTATCAGGTTATTAAATAATCTCCAAGATGAATATTAGAAACTGCAGCTAGCGGGAGAATATGTCTCTCGTCCAGAGAGAGAGAGAGAGAGAGCGTGCTCTCCCACCGGTGTCTCTGTTCTCTAAGGCCAGGCAGAAGCGTTCCACATTTTCCCCTCCAATTCTCCAGTGACCACCATTATCAAGACTTGTCATTAACGAGGGAAATATTCCTAAAAAGCACTAATACGCGTTCTAATCACCCAAATTTGTTGTGGGACTATATGATCTTTTCGGCCCGTGGATATCGCCCGGCTAAACATTAATATGGTAAAAGCTTCCATGGGAACTACTTCCATTAACGCTGACAAAGTGCCTCGATGGCACCCAGGCAAACAGCCTTCTGGCACTCTCTAAACGCTTTTTGACACTTCTCCCCCCCTCCTCACCCCCCCTTTGGTTGTATTTTACATTGAAGACCTGTGAAGTGGGGGTAGGGAAGGATGGGGGATTTTTTTTATTTTTTTGCGTTGTCTGGTTCACGCCCCTGAAGCCCCCTGGCGAGCCAGCGACAAAAGGGAACTCTTGGGATGCTTAAGTCAAAACAAATAATTCAGCTGGTGACAAAGATTGCCGGGTGTGAGGTTGGCGTCTATACATTAACTTTACACACACACACGCGCGCGCACACACACACACACACACACACACATCTCGTTGCCACTTAGGTCGAGACTGGATAAAGTGACTGGGCTTGTATCAAGGAGCGAGGACCTTGATCACTTCCTTTCCGCACTAGAAAAGGGCCTTAATCCTGTCGTAACTTGCTTTAAAGAGGAAGTGCAATTAAAAGTCAAGAGAAAAAGGTAATGAAAATGGAAAAGGCTGGTAGATACTGTCGCTTACAGAGTCGTGTTGCTTCGCGCCATCAGCAGCTCTCGCTCAGACCTCGTGTCATATTTTCTTGGCGACCTCCACATGTGGCTACGTCTTCGGCCAATCAGCTAGGCGGAGCAGCTCACATATTTGTAACACATCATGTGATTGGATAAGAAAATTGCTTGTGCTCCTCCCTTCTTAGGCGACGATGATTTACCGGAGCGCTGATTGGTCGGGTGGTGGGTGGGCGGGGCGTGTCGGCGGCCCAGGGGCGCACACTCGCCGCGCCACCTCTGTGGTGTAATATTACACTTGCCGCCTTACCGTCCATCATTCTTTTTGCGGTCGGCTAACAGCTCGTGACTCTGACTGTAGCGCGCGAGACAGTGGCAACCATGAACCAAGTTCCGTCGCCCACCAGTGTCTCTCCCACTGGAGGCTCAAGCAAGAAGGAAGATCACATCAAGCGACCCATGAACGCCTTCATGGTGTGGTCTCGCATGCAACGACGCAAGATTGCACAAGAGAATCCCAAGATGCACAATTCTGAGATTTCCAAACGACTAGGATCCGAGTGGAAGCTGCTCACCGAGGCTGAAAAGCGTCCCTTTATCGACGAGGCCAAGCGGCTCCGGGCCCAGCACATGAAGGAACACCCCGACTACAAGTACCGCCCCCGCAGGAAGCCCAAGACCCTCCAGAAAAACGGCTACAGCTTCCCGCTGCCTTACCTGACCACGTCGGCCCTGGACCCGCTGGGGCCGCTGCACCAGACCTACTACTCCACCCCCGCCGTGCCCTCGCCGCTCGACGTGGCTGGCGACAAGTCGCGACTCTTCTCGAGCGCCGGGCTCCCTCACCACTTCTACCCGAGCTTCGACCCTCAACACTTCACCAAGCTGCAGGAACACTACAAACCAATGACCTCGCTGGCTTGCAACGACGCCGCCGCCGCTGCCGCCGCCGCCAGCGTCTCCGCCGCCTCCATGGGCGGTATGTCGACCATGTCAGCCTTATACTCGTCCCTCTACTCCAAGTCCGCCTCATCCCTGCTCTCGGGGATATCGGGTCTGACGAGCGGGCAGCAGGGAGCGCCGCAGCTCTACCCGGGCTACCCGCCCACAGTCGACCAGCTGCGTCGACCAGTATCGGTGATCTTCTGAGACGATCCTCCACCGCCTCTCGATACACCCGTGAGGTGTAGCGGGTCGCCGAGTGTACATAGTGTACAGTAGTAGTGACGAGTAGACGCGATACACCCCACAGATCGTGACGGCGCCGAGTGGTAGTGAACTGTGTGGAGAGAGAGAGGTAGATTTCCCCTGGGTGTAGTGTCAACACCCGGGGTGTGGTGTCAAAACCGAGGGTGTCGAACCAAGGCGTCCTGGCTGGGCTTGTGGGGGGTGTGTGACGCCAAGTGCCACAGCCTGGGGTTGGCGCCGTGCCACGGGGTGCCATGTATTGTGTGAGAGAGTAGGTGATGTGTGGCCTGTCTTGTGTGGCAATGTAAGTACTCTCGTTAGAGTTTCTGTTTCATGAAAGTTTCCTCTCTGAAGTGACTTTTCTACCGTAAAGTGTGACTTACATTGCTCCCTGACCGAGCTGCTACTTAACAAGCTGTACAGGTGCGCCTAGACTAGTCTTTTAAAAGCTCATCTATAGAATATATTTAACTTTTTTCTGGTTTTAATGTTCAGTTGTGTGTGTGTGTGTATGTGTGTCAACGTACGTTTGTACAATGTACATAGCTGATGTTTATAATACTTATTATGCTATTAATAATATTAATAATAATAATAATAATAATAATAATAGATACAGTATTACCCTCTTTTATTGGCCATTCCTTTTGCAGTGTCCCATTTAAATATACAATTGGCACGGCTGCTTACAGTATACTGTACAGTTGCATAGCAACATTCATTCAATGTGAAAAATGATAATGAGCTGTCAAAATTCATTGGGGGCCTGAAAATGATCCTTTTATCATCTCAGAAGAGTTATTGATCGAGAGTAACAGCCAGATCCCCTACTAATCCCTGACAGAAATATTAATAAATCTGACAGGAATACTTATAAATCTGACAGAAATACTTATAAAACTGACAGAAATACTTATAAATCTGACAGAAATACTTATAAAACTGACAGAAATACTTATAAAGCTGACAGAAATACTTATAAATCAGAGAGAAATATTTATAAATCTGACAGAAACGCTTATAAATCTGACAGATATACTTATAAATCAGAGAGAAATATTTATAAATCTGACAGAAACGCTTATAAATCTGACAGATATACTTATAAATCAGAGAGAAATATTTATAAATCTGACAGAAATACTTATAAATCTGACAGGAATACTTATAAATCTGACAGAAATACTTATAAATCTGACAGAAATACTTATAAATCTGACAGAAACTCTTTAAAAATCTGACAGAAAGAATAACAAAGCTCACAGAAACACTTATCAATCTGACAGGAATACTTATAAATCTGACAGAAATACTTATCAATCTGACAGGAATACTTATAAACCTGACAGAAACACTAATAATCCTGACAGAAATATAGTACTACCCAAATAAAAGACAAGACAGAACCGGGCAGTTTCTGTCGTTAAGACAGTTAAATATTATGATCTCTTGATATTTGCGCTGAAAGATATCAAATAATCTCTCTCTCTTGATATCTACTTATTCACAGGAATTATCTGAAAAGCTGAGCGAGACTTCCAGACCCTGCTAACTATACCTAACCACCGATAGTCAATTAACTGACACTGGCTGTTAACTACCTAACACCGCTAACAAGCTGGTATACTTACTACCAATTACCGGACATTGTCTGCAGTCAACTACCTGACAATAAATTAACTACTTGTCACTAACTCTAAACTACCTGACACATTGTTAATTACTTAACCCTGGCTGTTAACTGACTGTTAGTTATTTAACTAGCTGACACTGTTAACAAACAATTACCAACCAATCAGCTTCAGGGGCGACTGATAACGTCTGTTGGTATATGGTAATTTCTCAAGCTACGTAAATATATAGCGATTATCAGTTAACCCGAGCGCTGAGAAATAATTATCCTTGCGCTGAGAGACAGCGCAAAAGACAATTATCCTTTGCCCTAAGACAATTATCCTTTGTCCTAAGAAACAATGATCTCCAGCGCTGAGAAACAATAATCCCTAGCGCTGAGAGACAATTATCCTCTGCCCTGAAAAACAATGATTCGTAGCACTGAGAAACAATGTTGCTAGCGCTGAGAAAACAACGAGCCATAGCTATGCGAAATTGATTCCTAAAACTGATCCCTAATTCCAAACACTAATCCCTTGCTTTGAGAAATCGCTGAACCCCCTTGAGATGAGAGAGAGCGCTGTTTCTCATCCTCAGCGATAAGAAACAATACTACCAAGCGCCGAATAAACAAGTATCCCCGATCACTGAGAAAGCAATTGTACCCCCTAGCACTGAGAAAGATTGTTCCTTAGCGCTGAGGAAACAATGATCTCTCACAGCACGTTGTCAGCTTGTTCTCTTAACAAAGTCGTTATCCAAATACTAATATTTGGATAACTGTTATCCAGAGGGAGAGAGAGAGAGAGAGAGAGAGAGAGAGAGAGAGAGAGAGAGAGAGAGAGAGAGAGAGAGAGAGAGAGAGAGAGAGAGAGAGAGAGAGAGGGAGAAGAACGGAAAATAATCCGAGACTCAAAGGAAAATAATGTGGCCTAACCTTACCTTCTCCTTGGGTAGGGATTTATTAATTACAGTGAATAGGGAATGATATGGCTCAGAAGGGCAGGGAGGGAAGGTAGGGTAGGAGGGGGAAGAAGGAGGGAAGGAAGGAGGGAAGGCAGGAGAGAGGGAGGGAGGGAGGGAGGGAAGCTCCTGAATAATTCATGGAGGGGGGAGTAATAGGGATTATAACGATTATAACTCGGAAGAGCGAGGATAATCCCTGCTGGAGTAATTAGGAGATATTAATTAGCCGCGTGACACCAGTAACTAATGGGATATGAGTGTTATCCCGGAACACTATCCTGGGATAATATGATACTGTTTACACCGTTGACTGCAGCGTGCATGCGTAAACATACAACGGTAACCATCACATACAACGGTAACCATCACAGGCAACGGTAACCATCACATACAATGGTAACCATCACAGGCAACGGTAACCATCGCAGACAACGGTAACCATCACATACAACGGTAACCATCACATACAACGGTAACCATCACATACAACGGTAACCATCACATACAACGGTAACCATCACATACAACGGTAACCATCACAGGCAACGGTAACCATCACATACAACGGTAACCATCACAGGCAACGGTAACCATCGCAGACAACGGTAACCATCACATACAACGGCAACCATCACATACAACGGTAACCATCACATACAACGGTAACCATCGCAGACAACGGTAACCATCACATACAACGGTAACCATCCCATACAACGGTAACCATCACATACAACAGAAACCATCCCATACAACAGAAACCATCCCATACAACGGTAACCATCCCATACAACGGCAACCATCCCATACAACGGTAACCATCACATACAACGGTAACCATCACATACAACGGTAACCATCACATACAACGGTAACCATCACAGCCAACGGTAACCATCCCATACAACGGTAACCATCACATACAACGGTAACCATCCCATACAACAGTAACCATCACATACAACGACATCCATCTCCCCCAAAAAATAATCTAAGATACAAAAATAATTAATAATAATTCCCCCAATAATATGAAGCCCCAGAGAGGCGCAGTAACTAATAATCCCGGAGGCGAGAGCGCAGTAATAATCGTCTTGGCGAGGCACAACGGGCGCAGTACAATAATTCCAAAGGGGGGGGGGGGGAAGGGGGGGAGGGAGCGTAATGAAAGAAATAATTCCCGTAGTGTACTCAACCATACCGAAGCGTAAGTCTGGGTAATCCGCGACACACTATGAATGGCAATCAATAATCGGCACTTTCAGTGGGTTGTGGTGTTGAATAATCAATATAATCCTCTATGATCCCAGCACGTTATTTCCCCTCTCTCTCTTTCTCGTGTCCTCCTCTTCCTTGCGATTATTGTCCTTCCTTTATCTCCTTTTTCTGTTTCTCCATCTCTGCGGAAAGAGAACTTAGCGTTGGGGGGGGGGGGGGAAGCAGCAGGATGGGTGATAAGCTTGGGGTGTTCACATGTCCTTTTATCTAGTCTATCTGCTTTGGGTGTTCTGAGTTTTTTTATTTGGTCGTTGGAGGGTTAGAGTGTGTGTGTGTGTGTGTGTATTCAGCTAAATGACTCGATGGGGGGTTGAGCTTCAGTTCCTGGATATCATATTTTTGGTTTCTGAAGTGCCCCGTTATTCATTTGTATAATCGTATGTGATCTACAAAATGTGTATATTAGGTTCGTCTGAGGGGATCTCCACTCGTCCCTATAGGATTTGATCTCACTCTGAACGGCGTGTTTCAAGTCATTTGTATCGCTGATTGTAAACCGAAGCATCTCTTTCCTGTCTTTCATTTTCATTTACTAATGAGAATCTTGCAGATCTCGATCATGTCCCTCCTCTTCCCACTTATCTGTTGCCAGCGCTGTGATAGTGATTTAGTTAATGCCTTATAGTTTGGTCATCTTAGTCTCTAAAGGCCAGTGTCGTAGTTAACTCCTGCATTGTTTCTAGTTTCGTTCTGTGCATCTTTAAGTGGGGATTCATGTGCTTGGACTGCATGATCTAACACTGGTCTTACGTAGGTTGTTTAAAGCCCTCTAGAGGGCAAATTGACTAAATTTCTAATGATCACCCATATGTTCGTCAGTTTCACATATACTGCTGCTGCTGCTGTGTGCGTGTGTGTGTGTGTGTGTGTGTGTGTGTGTGTGTGTGTGTGTGTGTGTGTGTGTGTGTGTGTGTGTGTGTGTGTGTGTGTGTGTGTGTGTATTCATCTAGTTATGCTTGCGAGGGTTGAGCTCTGCTCTTTCGGCCCGCTTCTCAACTGTCAATCAATCAACTGTTACTAACTACTATTTTTTTCCTCACACACACCCACACCCAGGAAGCAGCCCGTAACAGCTGTCTAACTCCCATGTACCTATTTACTGCTAGGTAACAGGTGCATCAGGATGAAGGAAACGCTGCCCATTGTTTCTCGCCGGCGCTGGAAATCGAACCCACAGCATTATGGATACAGCGTGCTGTACATTCAGCCACCGGGTCCATGTGTGTGTGTGTGTGTGTGTGTGTGTGTGTGTGTGTGTGTGTGTGTGTGTGTGTGTGTGTGTGTGTGTGTGTGTGTGTATGCGTGCGCGTGCGTATGACGGATATATATATATATATATATATATATATATATATATATATATATATATATATATATATATATATATATATATATATATATATATAATAGAGTACAAATAGATTGGTTAGAAAAGCTGGGTCCAAGAGCTAATAGCTCGATTCTCTAGACACAAATAATAAATACACATCCTCAGGATGCAGCCCGTATCAGCTGTCTAACTCCCAGGTACCTATTTACTGCTAGATGAACAGATGCACCAGGGTGAAAGAAACTCTGCCCATTTGTTTCCGCCTCGGCTGGGAATCGAACCCTGGCCCTTAGGACTTCGATCTCCAAGCGCTGTTCACTCAGCCGCGAGGCCCCGTGTGTGTGTGTGTATGTGTGTGTACTCACCTAATTGTACTCACCTAATTGTGCTTGCGGGGGTTGAGCTCTGGCTCTTT